CATGCAGAAGCGCAAAGACGATATTTTATCGCACTGCGTACATCGGGAACAAATAATGAGAAGTTCAAGACCTGGTTTGGTGACATGTGAACTAATGGCTTTGAGAATCGCTATGCGACAGTAGTTTAACACGTACTGCAACCCTGTTTCATCAAATCGAATGCTGCTGCGTACGGTTCAGCCGTGGCTCCTGGTCCTTCGTTAGAACAACTGTCGCCATGCCGTACAGCAAAAGTGACCTGACAGAGGTAAGGCACAGGTGGACTTTTGTGGCAAAAATATTCCCAGCCCAGATATTGGATGCTTCCAAAAGCACTGTTTTCGAACAACGTTTTCTACAGTAAGGTAATTCTGTGCAGCTGTTTAGCCGCATTTTTGATCTCAGTCTGATTTGATTTTCAGTAAAATTGAAGTTACAACTGTTGTATCAAAACTTCTAATGATTGCTTACTACATAACTGGTAAGTAACATATGCAACGGTGGCTCTTCCTGAAGTTCATTGTGGCATGTCGTCCTATTTTAACTAGTAGCGACTGAATAAAGGTATTTAATGCCATTTTTCATTGACATTCGAGTAATAAGCGAACGCCGCCACTTGAGAACGGTCCATTTTAAACGACATTTGTACAGTTTCTTCACTCCTCCGCCAAGTCGTAAGTTAGTCTCCTTTGCTGTCCGCCAACTGGTTTAGCGTGCCCGTGACGAAAACGGCAATTGAACTATGTGATGGGTGTGATGGCAATGTTTGCTCACCGCTATGAACAGAAACGACTAGAAGTGTTGCAAATGCTGACTAGCGATCATCCGCTTGGTCAATGAACGAAATGCTGGTGGTCTCTTCAGGTTGGAAAGTAGCCGCTTGATTCTGAGCGTTCTTGATGACGTGCTTGGCGATAGCATCGTTTTGGAACAACAATCTCATCAACTGCTTGTCCGTCAGACCATACTTTTGCTGCAGGCAGTAGAGTTGGAATACCCAGTCCTTCACTGATATCGCCTTGTCACCAATCGTGGTGAAGAAGTTGCGTGCAGTGTGAACCTGACGACCGAGGAAGTGGATTTTCTGAATGTAATGCAGACCCATCGAATCAATGCACATCGCTGATAGGATGACACCGAGGAACACGAACACTATAACAAACACAAGTGATGTCGCATCGCTGGGGACTAAGTCTCCGAAGCCGATTGTCATAGTCGTTATGAGTGAACAATAAAACGAGTCAACATATGACCACTTTTCCGTCGTCCTGAAAACAACGGCGCTTATTGAACTGTAAATTATGAGAATGAGCACAAAGAACAACAATGGCGCCTTTAGAAGAGCGGTGTCGTAGTCGTAATCTAAGGAATCGGAACTGTCGCTTCTCGACTCCTGGCGGTTGTAAATTTCTTCGAGATCTTTCTGGAAAGACCTGTTCTTCTTGCACATACTCAGCGACACGTGTGAACGAAACAGCACCTGTACTTGCTGAATCGTGCTCAGTGAATATTGGCATAAAACACTGTGGAACCATGTCACGCATTCGCTAAGAAACTTGTTAAAATTAGCTACTGTTACCAAGGCCAAAGGAATGCCAAACATCCCGTATATAATACAAAAGCAACGGCCAAGTCTTGTTACTGGTAGTAAGTTGCCGTAACCTATAAAACCAATCATATACCATCAGTGACTTCAACTTCAGCAAAACTTGAAGAAAAGTGGTTACTGTTTATCTGTTAAATAGCAAGTTATAGGAACAAGGATGTTTCATTTGCGTTTCAGACTACAAGTAAAAGTTAC